TGAAAGAGCCATCCCTCAAGGAGGTAAGAGGGATGGCTTGTAGACAAAGGGCCTTCTCGGCAGCTGCCCTCAGACTATGGAATGCCCTCCCGACTGAAATTCGTCTGGCGCCGACACTGATGATATTTCGGCGCCAGGTCAAAACCTTCCTGTTCCAGAAGGCTTTTAATTGAAATAACATTAACTGTGGGTCCATGGGAGGGAATTTCAATGTCTGAGGGCAGCAACAAGGAAGGTATTCTGCTGTGTCCCCACAAGCGGACCTGTGAGGGTGGTGGCACCAGTGGTACCAATCCTCCTCCATCCCTCATCTCCCAATGGTTTCCTTGGGTTAAAGGGGAGACCTAAGGAATCTCAGAAGCTGAAATGGGGGTTAGGAAGCTTCAAATCAATTTAATTATTTCCAGTACCCAATTCAGTTTATGCTGGTGGAACTGTGCCAACAGGATTTTGTCCAATGTCTAGTGGTTAGACTGACCAACCAACCTACCTACCTTATTTCCCCTTGAAAAGGACCCACTGCGGCTAACAAACTTCTGTTTACACTGTTGTTTAGGAAATACAAGATGTATCATTAGAAAACTTTATTGAGATCATTGCCATCCTTTTCCCCTACCAATTTAAATTATACTTGCACTCACTGATTTACTGTTACCATGATTAAAGTAAACCCCCTCTACCTATTATGACTGGGGAGAACTTGCTCAAAGTAACTAATAGCTTCCTCGTAGTGGGTACATCTGAAAGAGTAGCCCCAGACTTTACTTCCTGCATACATTAGATAGTAAGTACTGATACAGAGCTAAGAGAGCACACTTTTGACTACAGTACAACAGTATGCTATGTCATGAGGCTGTAGTTAAATTTTCTCCCATTAATTTCAGCAACAGGAAAAATGCAAGACTAGAAGAACCACTGGATTAAACAATTACAGTGGTGCCTCGCATTACGACGTTAATTCGTTCCAGCGAAATCGCTGTAGAATGAAAATGTAATGCGAAAAAAACAAACCCATTGAAACGCATTGAAGCCCCTTCAATGTGTTCCAATGGGTTGGAAACTCACCGTCCAGCGAAGATCCTCCATAGGGCAGCCATTTTCAGTGCCTTTGCAGTGAGGAATCCATCCCAGAAAACAGTGGGGAGCCATTTTATTTACCCGGTGGCCATTTTGAAACCGCCGATCAGCTGTCCGAAAATCGTCGTTTTGCGAAGAATTGGTTTCCGAAGCAGGGAACCGATCATCGCAAAGCGAAAAACTCCTATTCAGATCGTTTTGCGATCGCAAAAACGTCATCGTAATGCGGTTTTGTCGTAATGCGGGGCAATCGTAAAGTGGGGCACGACTGTACAAAGATTGCTAGCCTCTTTGCAGCCAAGCCAGGAGAGTTTGGGAAATGGTGAATTCCCTGCCATATACAACTCCTTTCTTACTCATATAAGTTTGGGTATGAAAGTAAGTTAAACTGCTGTACTGCAGCCAAAACTGTGTTCATGACTCAGGGTTCAATCTCAGGTAGCCGGCTCAAGGCTGACTCAGCCTTCCATCCCTCTGAGATTGGTAAAATGAGTACCCATCTTGTGGGGGTGAGCGCAATGTGTAGCCTGCCCGGAGAGTGCTTCAAGCGCTATGGGTGGTATATAAGCAGCACACTTTCCAATCGTAATTAATACAAGATTATTTTAAACAGCGACAATACCAAAAGTAAAGCTTCTGCACTGTTTATTTCTTCACCACTGATTAAAATCAGATGATATTCCATACTCCCATATTCATGAAACGACACAAGTTCGAGGGATGTGCAGCCTACTTACTGTTTTCTACAGATCAGGAGATATCTCAGCTGCACCTAGTTCAGACTGGATACTGCATAAACTATTCATTCATACTAACCATTCAAAGTTAACAATGATTGTTCCCTCCCTTAAAGTACAGTTTATAAATTACAATTAATATTTGATATCAGAAAGTGTTATATGTGTATAAGGCAGCAAGGGAGAAAATTCATTAGGAGGAACTCCCTGCAGCTGAGGTTTATTGTCAATATAGTATAGATCCATGTTTACCAATACAGTAGTGTCTTGCATTACGACGTTAATTCATTCCAGCGAAATTGCTGTAGAATGAAAACGTTGTAATGTGATTTTAAAAAGCCCATAGAAACGCATTAAAACCAGATTAATGCATTCCTAGGGGCTTGAAACTCACCGTCCAGAGAAGATCCTCCATTGCACGGCCATTTTCGCTGCCTGTGCAGCGAGGAATCCATGCAAAAACACAGCGGGCGGCCATTTTGAAACTGCCAATCAGCTGTTAAAAAATCATCGCAAAGCGAAATTCCCCCATAGGGAACATCGTTTTGCAATCGCTTTTGCTATTGCAAAAACATCAATGTCAAGCGATTTCATCGTCAAACGGAGCGCCCGTCTTGCGGGGCACCACTGTACTTATAATTGACAAAAAGAATTACAAAGTGGAAATAATTTAAACATGGGATTGGCAGTCCAGACACGCTGCAGCAAAACCTAGTTTCTACAAAAGGGTATATTGTGCCCTACGACAAAGCCATGGGGCCCACTTTTGAGGATATAATCTCCCCAGAATCTGAGGTATGGGGCTGCAGTGAGGGCAACTGAAGTTCTGCTTTCCAAGATGTTCAGACAGCCAACCAAAACACTCTCCCTCTCTGTGTGCATGCATGAATGTGTGTGTGCATGTGTTTCCTTTTTTAAATGAAGGAAAAAGGTATTTTGTCACTGCCTGATTAACCTGAGGATTTAGGGAGATCAGGATCAAAATCATATAGAATGTCATTCCATATGTAGACCAAATGCAAAGGTGAAGTACTGGATTATGGGTTGCTTAAAAAGAAATTGAAGATTGTTTGGATAGGTGTTTTGAGCTTCAGCCTAGAAGACAACTGGAAGCATCAAAACCTTTGGTTAACATTCTAGCAGGATACTCCATACAATGTTTCTTTCATCGCTGCAGAATTCCTAGGCTGGTTAAATGCTCAACTTCACGTTCTATTGCATCAACTTCTCTTACCTGAGTGTGAAAATTTGAAATGGTGGTTGTTTCAATATCTTTCTTGCCAAGGATTTCCATTTTCACTGGAGTGTTAGGAAAATTAAAAGCAAAGTAATCCAAGAAGTCTGGCAAGTAGGCAGCTGCCCCATGAACTATAGCTAGAGCATAGTATGCTGCATTTTTTTCATTTTCACTGAATGTCAAAGCAAGAAACTCTTCTGCAAATCTCTCCATCTCCACTGGAGACAAAAATGAGAGTTCATCCATGTAGGCATGAAGAACCAGAGCTCCCCCATTTGACTGATGCTCTTCATGAATAAAATTGCTAAATTTAGTGCCTGTTTTTAGGAAGCTGTGGCGAACAGAATGCTCCTGGTGAGTAGTAAATGGAGACTGCACCCCCTGGGGTATCCTATACTCCTCCATGCCCAAATTTAACTGACACAGCTGTTCATCTTTCAGATACCTAAAAGATTCCTTGTTTTCTTCAAAGTTATCACTCTCCCCTGGAGTCAAAATCTCTTCATTGATGCGGGTAAGACCAGCACACACCGTCTGTACTTCTTTGTTGTACATTTTCAGATGCCTCCCTCTTACATCTTCTCTGTGTTTCTTTTTCTTCTTTTTCTTTGTTTTCTTTACAAATGGAGTGTCAGCTCTCTGGGTCTTGCCATTTTCATCTCGACTTTCTAGAAATAATAAGAAAATTACCATGCTATTGTTGCAATATGACCACTCAAACAAACAGTAATAGATATTAGGAAAGCATCTAACCACCCACACCAATAGAAGTAACACTTTGGAAAGCTATTAACAGCTTTCATTCGGATATATTAAATCAGGAAGTCTGTATCAAAGAATTTAAAAAATCTTGCAAAACACCACAAGAGTAGCTATTATGCCATAGGTTTAGGAGCCTCGTGGCACAGTGGTTAAACTGCTGTACTGCAGCCAAAATTGTGCTCACAACCTCACGTTCCATCACAGGTGGCCAGCTCATGGTTGACTCAGCCTTCTATCCTTCTGAGGTCAGTAAAATGAGTATCCAAGCTCGCTGGGGGAGGGGGGCATATGTAGCCTGCATAATTAACTTGTAAATTACCCAGAGAGTGCTTTAAGCACTACTGGGCAGTATATAAGCAGTATGCTTTTTGCTTTATAAGTTTAACATACCCAAACACTTTTCTTTTTGTTGCAACAAACAAATCTCTAAAATTTGTTTCAACAGTTATAGGGGGCAGGAAAGACAATTCGTACAGGCCTTTTCCTTTTTATAATTAGTACTGCAGGATTATAAGAAAAAGTATAGCTCTTTTACATTATTTTTCATTTAGCATTTAGAAAAGTGCTGCTGTAACTCATCGATCCAACAAATACTTCCATAAGGATCTGTATACAAGCGTATCTGTATCATATGCTAGCAGACTGTGTCTGTCTGCGAATTATCAGCATGACTGTGCATGCAGTGTGGCATATTAGTGTATGATACATAATTCATACAAGAATCTCAGCTTTCATATGAGAAAAAAAAATCCTGACTAGCGATTAGCACAAACTGCAGTTCGGCAGTTCAACCCATTTCAGCACAGGACCCACACAAGTGTTCCTTAGGCACTGTGCTCTCCCCTCTCTTGCCCCCTCTGTGTGCTTGCCTATTCCCCAGCCAAAGTGTGCTTCCCTCTCCTGCCTCCTCAGTGCAACTGCTCACTCACTGATCTTTAGAATTAAAGGAAGGGTTAGGAAGAACCCTGTTCCTTAATTCAAAGGCAATACCCCTCAAAGCCAAATTTTGTACTAGTTCTAGTTGACACTAGGGTGTGCCATTCTGTTTCTGTGAACTCTAAATCATTACATTCTCCAGAATTCCCCAAGCAGAATTCTGAGAGTCCAGAAACACACACCTGCAGAAACCTTCATTTCACTCACATGGAAAAAGACTGAGTCATCCTTCTATGCCTTATTTCTTGCTACAATGTTTCCTCAGAGGAAGCTGCTGCAATGCTTCCTTGGGGTAGTAATCTTGTGCTTTCTATGGAGAGTGAAGAACCACTACCTCCAGAAAGCACTTCTCCCAGGAAGTGCTGGAGGAGAAAATAAGACTCAGAAGAAAACCTAGGAAAAGGTCTCAGCCTTTTTTCAGGCAAGTGAAAACAAGTGGTTGGCAGGTGTGAGTCTATCAACTAGAACTCCCAGAATTCTGCCTGGGGATTTCTTGGAGAATTCTGAAATTTGGAGTCCAAAAATCCCCAAAACAAACGGCACATCCCTAGTTGATATATTTTTGGGTTCTGGTAATTCAGGTCTACAAACCAAGTCTACAAATCCTCTTACAACATCTGTAGGTGCTGCATAATGTTGATACTGATGCTCATTTCATGTACCAGGTGTGCATAAAACTTGAATTCAAATGCTGCAAGAGATTACTGTAGCTATTGGGTTAGCATGCTACCATTGACCTATGTCCCCCTGAATATTATTCAGAATTGGTGGGTTCTTCAGACTGATGCTAGGCAGAAAAGGATTTAATTTTGTCTTCAGCTATGCCTGATCAAGTTAACCCTTCAATCTTACAGAAAATATAAAATGATCAAAATGTGGAGAAACACTGTTTAGCCGAAGGGGCGGGGGGAATCCCTTTCTGCCTAGCATGTCTGAGGAACCCACAAATTCAGAAGAATATTCAGGGGGATATAGGTCAATGATAGCACACAAACCCAATAACTACATTGTTAGTTTTTGCAGCATTTTAATTCAGGTATTTTGCACACCTGGTACATGAAATGAGCATCAATATCAACATTGTGCAGCACCTACAAACATAAGAGGATCAACAGAAGCCTTATACTATAATCCGAAGCATGCTTGCTTATTACCTACCAGTCCCAACCAGTATTTAAAATCATGTGATCAACATTTTTATTTTTGATCTTGCAAGACAGTTGGCTCATGGAAAATTAATACACATTGTTCTATTCTTTACTGCAGCAGAGCCAAAATAATTGCAATTGAAATAATCACATGTTCTCTCCCTGCCTACCAACACCTCCATTTCCTCCTTTCTTCTGGTTTCTGTGTGTCTCTTTTAAACTGTAAAATCCTTGGCACAGAAACCTGTCATGCCTGTTTTAGAAACACCATATGTACACATGAAAGAAAAACAACAATAAACACAAGAACACCGTGCGTGCACAAATGATCTGAAGATTAACAGAAAATTGACTGTTTTAGATTGCCTTATTACATTATTTAAGTTACTGGGGCAGCCCACCATACTGCCTATGTTTATATCCCACTTGGCTCACACTCAGGAAATCAGAGTTTGGAACAGCAATACCAGACCACAGATGTACTAGAGCATTTTCTTTATAGAGGCCAATCAATTGCCTATACCGTACAAAGCTTCCCACTGAGACATAAGTGTAACTGCACATTCTATCCTACACATTCCAGAGACCGATAAACAGAGATATACCACTTCTGATACTAGAAGTGATATACAGTCACCCTGACTAGTAGCAATTAATTGCCCTAACCTTTATCTAGGTCCATTCTGAAACCTTCCAAATTGGCGTCCTTCTCTACACTATATGGCAGGCAATAAATTTCAGTTTAGCTATGCAATGAATAAACATTTTCTTCCTTTTATCTTTTTAAACCTGTTCAGCTTCTGTAGATGATCTGGGTTCTAACACTATAAGAAGGCGGGGGGGGGGATTCTAACTACTACCTTCTTTCACCACACCATGCACAATTACACTTGACTGTCTTCTAAACTAAATAGGAGCAGAAAGAGGAGTTGTTCCAGTCTTGTGATCATTTTGGTAAGTCTTTTTTGTACTTTTTCCAGACCTACAAAATCTTTTTAAAAGTAGAACAATACAAAGTATCACAGGTGAGGCACACCATGGATTTTTATAACAGTACAGTATCATCAGTTTTTCACAGGGTGCATGCTGCATGACATACCTCTGTCTGTCACTGAATCATGAATAATCCAATGTAATGCAGATTACGTATGTAAAATATTTATTAACTGTTAGTACACACACATAGTCACATATCTTTCAAACTTTAGATTACAGCTCGCTACCATGACAAGTATCCATTTAAAATACAGTACTGTATATTTTGGATGATCATTCACACCAACTTTTCCCAGTATGACCAATAATAAGGGGCTATGACAGTTTCCAATGCAGTGAAGTGAACAAGAGACTAGGACCCTGGAGAACAGAGTTTGGCCATGAAAACTCATTGGAGGAATGAGACTGCTAAAACCACTCCTTAAATATCTCACTTATCCTGCAAGCCCTAACTACTGTACGGTCACTATTAGAGACAGGAGTATTCATATACAAATAACCCCACACAGGTAGACCGGAGCTGCCACTCAGCTATCCATTCATCAGCCTGGCAGGGAGACTAGTCGTCCCTCCTCCTGCCAGGAGTGGATAGTCCATCAGGAGCTCTGGGGTGACTGGAAGGGAGAGCGGAGCTGGCACTGGCACCAGACTGGTAAGTAGAGCCTCGTTACATCCACCTGTGCGGGGGTATTCGTATTTGAATATAAATACACCCATTTCTAGTCACTATAAATCAGGTTTGACTTGACAGCACAGAACACACATACATTGAAGTTCTACTTAAAATATCTGGAGAATACCAAGTCATCTTCCTGAACTCTCATATTCATATTAGAGAAATAAAGAAAGCTAGTTTACTGCTGTGTCCTAAGCACCTTTACCCAGTGCTAAATAAAAAATGGGTTTGTTTGACTTCTATACCGACTGTCTGGCCAGAGGCCACTCTAGGCAGTTTACAACAACAAAATTAAAATACTAACAATAGCACATGAAAGCAGCAAACCAAAAATCAAAATAAAAACAATAAAAAATAAAATTGACAGTGCAATTAAATACATTAAAAAGCATTAAGAGGTAGGCAGCAGTTAAAACAAGTTAATAACTGGTAGATATAGCAATCTCCTCAGGTAAAATGTATTGGAAAGGCTGTCAAAATAACAGAATTTTTAGTGTTTTCTTGAAAACCAACAGTGAAGAGGCTTGGCAGATTTCAGATGGTAATTCATTCCAAAGCTTTGGAGCAACAGCCAAGAAGGCCTAATTCCTTGTTCTCTCCCCCTTGGCCTCCCTCGGAATTAGCATCCTCAGCCATCGTGCCTGTGTTATGCGAGTAGGATGGGCAGTACCAGTTGGTAGCAGACATTCTGCCATGACCTGAGACCCTAAAAAAGGTTCAGTGCTTACTCTGAGCAAGATGGAAAGCAGTAGACTGCCTCTAACCCATGTCTCCATAATGTAAAGTGGTGCCTCGCAGAACGGTCGCTCCATAGAGCGATGAATCCGCACAACGGTGCCGTTTTTGCGATCGCAAAAGCGATCACAAAACAGCACCTAGATAGGCCAGGAATCACAGAGCGAAGGTCAGTAAGCGGTTCGCTTACCGACCTTCGCTTTGCGACCCACTTTTCGCGCCCTTGGTAAGCAAGGGGAGGGCGCGAAAACGCTGCCGGAACAGCTGAAATGGCTGCGCGCAGCGTTTTCGCGCCCTCCCCTCACTTACCAAGGGCGCGAAAACGATGCGCCCGGCCCTTTCGGCTGTTCCGGCGGCCATTTTGGACCCGCCGGACAGCTGATCGCAGCGTTTTCGCGCCCTCGTTCAGCGAGGG